TCGGGATTTGTTTGTGTACAAACAAGTATTTTTAGGCGATGCTTCGTGAATTATTAGTTTTTGTTTTTATCTGTCTCCTCGACCCAAACCGTGAATGTCATATTTTTTTTTCCCTCGATAATATCGAATAGCAATAAATATCGTTTTATTGAAAGTTTCATAAAATAACTCTTGAATATACAAAGTGGTAGGGAAAAAAATATATGTTGATTTCGAAAAATAAAATATGGTTATAAATATAAAACGAATGCTATTCAAATGATACAGATGCGATAGATTCCCTTTTAAAGTAAAACACATTTCGGTCAAATATTATTTACATTTACTTTAATATGAATTATATTTACAACATTAATTAAGAACTGTATCCAACTGATGCAATTAAAATAATGAATACAAAATTCAGAAATTTCACTAGGAATTATTATTTTGCACTATTACTATATAACAACTTTTGGCAACAAAAAAATAAATAAATAGAAACAAATAACGAGTTTTTATTATAAATAAAAATTATCAAGAAAATTGCAAAAAGAAACTTGTAGAAGAAGTTGTAATGATAACCGAGCAAAATAGTTAAGTTTAAATTTGATCCCAATAGATTCTGGAACCTAATCTGTGGAACAATAAAAAAATTTGTGAATCTTTTAATTGAATAATTTTTAGTTTTGGTGTAATAATCATGGTGAAATAAAAATGACTGCTAAAAAATTTCTAGGGTTTGTGGGTGTGCGTGCCGATTTGCATTGGAGCTTTATCAGGATTAATTTATGTAGCGATCTAAATATCTGTAGTAGTGTTTCTAAAATTAATAGATTTTTTTTAAAGAATAATATTTATTAATAATTTAATTATAGTAATTTAATAATATCGAAAAGAGAGCGATAAATATCGTTTCATGAAACTACTTCTGCATGAATAAAGTGACTGAAATAAAATGTTAAGTCTGAAAAAGCAAGGATTACCATAAATGACACGAAGGGGGCCGGGATAGCCTGGTTGGTAGGTTGCTGGGCCCATGTCTAAGAGTTCGTGGGTTCGATCCCTGCTGACTGAAGACTCCTCGTGCAGAAAATGGTGACTGATGCACGTTAAATCTGTCGAGTCTCAAAGTCCTCCATGTTCTCACAACAAATCAATACCTCTGGGGGTACTGATCCAGGAGTTTCCTTGTCTTCTGGATTGGTTCAAAATTACAAGGCTACGGAGTTGAACGTTAGTAGTCGTAAACCCATGAAATTGGGTCGGCTGTTCAACGACGGTTATAAAATAAAATAAAAATGACACGAAGGGATAGAGCGTTCGCCTTCCAATGGGGCGAACCGGGTTCGAATCCCAGTCGATACGAATTCCGCATATGGCTTGCATCGACCACAGTGCTGACGTGAAATATTCTTATNGCCGTAATTATATTCTGAGTTACAAACATCCTATATTTTCCATGTTAAATTGTTTCCTTTTATTAACTTTGCACTCCTACTGAAGATGCGACATCAATATCTCTTCTGATTGTTACTGTTTATTTTCTTTGTAATGTTTGTTTGCTTAGTTTATTTCTAAGTAGCACTGTTTTCTGGATTTCATATTTAATATTCCACTTATTTGTTAAAACTCTAACTTGAAAATTTTGAATATGTTTGCTCATGTAATTGAACTGTTACGCTCACTTCGAACTTTCGGAGTGACCCCGGATGACCCCTTACGGAGGCGGGACGGGCTAAGCTTGTTATTAGTAGTCGTAAACCCATAAAATTGGGTCGGCTATTGAACGACGGTTATAAAATATAAATGACACGAAGGGAGTCGTTATGGCTCTGGGTATAGAGCGTTTACCGAGTTCGAATCCCAGCAATGACTGACTGATATAAATTTCGCATCTGGTTTGCACCGACCACAGTACCTGCGTAAAATATCCTCAGGGGTAGACGGTAGACGCAGCTACCATCCGGCTAACCGTGGGGGATTTTCGTGGTTTTCTTTTCCATGTAACGCAAATGCTGGTTAGCTCCATCAAAAAGTCCTCCAACGAAGGCCAATTTCTCCCAATACGTCATCCATGAGATTCCTTATCTTCTGGATTGGGTTCAAAATTACAAGGTTACGGAGTTGAACATTGGTAGTCATGTACTCAAAAAATTGAGTAGACTGTTTAATGATGGTTATAAAATAAATTGACACGCAGCCTATTCAAATGGTGCAAATTACCATTGTTTTTATATTAATGAATTGTGCATCTTTACATTAAAAGAAATTACTTTTTAAATACCCCTTTATCAGAAGAGTTTTAGAGAAAATAAATAATTTTTTAAAAACGAAAAATCCCGGAAGTCGAAAAACCTAAAATAATGAATGAAGCTATGTTATAACCAAAATCATTTGTCTGACTCATTTACGATGTTAATCTTTTCTTTTGATATTAAATACTCGAAAGTGTCGCCGTTCTTTAACTATAAGACTTAATCTTGGAGTTACGAAGAGGTGTAGAAAAATGTAAAGGGTGTTGAAACTAATCATCCGGTGATTAGTTCGAGGATCGTCAACTGTTCAACTCTAGATAAATAAAAAATACCATGCGGGCCACTTTTCAGATAGCAGAAGTGCAACTAGAGTTATAATTTGACATACTGAAAGGAACATTTTCTTTCGAAATCCTAATTTGTCGAAAGTTAATGCAATTTTAAATGTTTTTTGCTACCAATTTCTCTCTCTCCTTTTTTTTTTCATTTTATGTTAGTTTTTTTTGTGCTACGTCCAAACTATAAGACTCGGAAACTTTAAATCACGAATACTTGTTGAAAATTGTACAAGAAGGGCGATGAAATGAAAGAAAAATTAAGATTCGATTATTATTTTGAAGAACTACAAACCTCTAAATTGTAACAACAATCGCTAAATATGCTAAGCAGTGAAGACCTTCTTCATTTATAAACTTAACGATTTTTTTTTTCGAAATTCCGATTTGTTAGAAAGTTATTGCAATTGTAAATACTTTTCTTTTGCCATTTTTCATTTTAATTATTAATTACTATTCATCCATTGCGTTAAAAAAAATTTCTTGAGATCATTTTATGGGTTCACGTTTTGACTGAATATCAAAAGTAACAACAACAAAAAAATGGATAAAAAAATGATAAATAAAGAAGGGGAATAAATACGAGAGTTAGATGTGAATTAAAATATGAAACAGCTTCCTCGCACCTGAAGCTAAGCTATAATTTCAAGCTACATACAACATCTTGCCGTTAAGAATTATAAGAGGCTTTAGAGCGGGCAATATTTTAAAAGCTATTAAAAATTAAAATTGCGAATTTGGATTCATTTTTTCCCCTAGATTAAAATTATCAAAGTCAATGCCTCAATTTTTATGAGCCTAGATAATGCAGCATTCGTGTAAGTTTTTAAATATTAAAAAATTAGACCACAAATGCTATTCATTTTCTTTAAACTGTGGCATTTCTCCATATTGACCTTTTGTGCCATTTTTAAAAGAATATGAAAAAAAGGTGTTGGATAAAGATAGACTAAATTTGACCTAACAGTCATCATGAGTAACTATCGCAAACTCACAGCAGTTATGAAAATAACCAATTATTCTTAAAAAAAGTATCATTTTATACGACTACAGAGCTTTTGAAAAACAGTCTTATAAAAGGTTATCGTTGTATAATGTTAACAAGTAAAATTACTTACCATTTATTGTTTTTTTATTTTGTTGCAAATGCATTAATAATGTATTCTTTTTCTTTCAAGTACAATTGTTCATTTATTTATCTATTATTTTCTTTTAAAGAAAAAATCCAGTTAATCGGGTAATTTCATTACAATTGACATATTTACAAAACAATTTACGTAAAATTACTATAAGTATATATTTTTTTTAAAAATAAATTAATCTTTTTTAAAAACAAATTCTATTTTTAAGAAATAAAACAATGATAAATGAGGGAATTTGGCGGTCTTATTGAATAAAAAGTTTATGTCCATAATACTGAAAATTGATATTCGGCTTGTAATCAGTTTATTGTCATAAAAATGTCTGGAATTATAAAAATTCTTATTAGTTAAATTAGCTCATCCACACACACATCGGCTCTAAGTGAATCACTTATATGCAGAAAGGGCTCACTGCTTTATTTCTGTGCGAAAATGTTAAAATTAAATTATGTTAATAGACTATATTAAATTATGTTACTATACCATAAAAAAATGATTTTCCTTTAGCTTTTTCAAAAAGAAGAAATTAATTTTTAGAATTAAAACTCTTTCTTACGGAATTTTGTTTTCTGGAAACAAAAGAAAGCCTTTTCAGATATGAAACATGATATGTGTCAGTAAAGGTTTCAGAAAGGTTTGTAGTAATGTTACCGAAACTTTGCATCAGAGACAGAAAAAAAGACTCATTTTGTTGTTTTAATAATTAAAAGTTTATTTCTTTTTCAATTGAACATTGAATAAACTCAAACCTTATTTTTTTTTTTATTAATTTTATTTATAAGATTCCATGACAACAACATATTCTTGAATAAAATATTTTACATAAATTTCCGAATAACAGTATTATATGTACAATATCAAAAATTTTAAATAAATATTATAATATACAAATATTATTGTGAAAGAAGATCATCAATATGTTTCACAACATGCAATAACATAGTATGCATTGATAGAAATTACGGAAGTATGCTTTTTAAGTGTTGTTCGAAATCAAAAGGCTAATTTTGTAGTTTAACCTGCATTTTATATATATAATCAAATTTAATGAGTACAACTATAGAATAAAAATTTGGCCTGTAACTAAAAACTCTAAATAAAGACGAATTAAAGTAAGAAGTGTAAATATTTTTTTTATCAATAAAGGTATACTGCTATCAGTCTTATTAAAAATTGAAAAAAAAAACTTTGAAATGTTTTATCAAAGATTTATGAATAGATATTGTGTACTTAACTGCATGGCACAATAGCGCAAAAAGTATATAAATAAATAAATGGGATCACTTAAAAAAGTCTACAAGAAAACAACTCTAAAAATTATTAAACATTTTTTAAGAGAAAAGTGGAGTTGAATACGAATTTCTTAAAATATACTAGCTGTATTGTTTACAATTGTCTTAAGCTCCAGTACGTACTATAATCATTCTGAGATATTTCCTGTGTATCAAATTGATATGAACAAGTGGGTTTTACTTCTGGTGTTTGATATGCTGATTGAATATCTAAAGTAGTAGAATTTTGAAATACTGGTTGACAGTTAGATAAGTAAGAACAACTTGGCGATTGTTTGCTGTTGGGTGACGGCAATTGTGGCGATAAACCTTTCCAATCACTCAATTTCTCACTACTGGTGACTGATGACGATTGTGGCGATAAACCTTGCCATTCACTCGATTGTTCACTACTGGTGATGGATGACGATTGTGAAAATAATCCGTGCCATTGATTTGGTTGTTCAAGACTGCTGACTGATGCTGATCGTGGGGATAAGCTATGCCATTGACTCGATGGTTCATGTCTGGAGATCATGGATGATTGTGGTGATAAACTATGCCATTGACTAGATGGTTCAAGGCTGGTGACTGATGACGATTGTGGCGATAAACCTTGCCATTCACTCGATGGCTCATTGCTAAAAACTGAGGACGATTGTGGCGACAAATGATGCGACTGACTTGGTATTTCGTGACTGCTGACTGATGATGATTGCGGTGATAAACTATACCATTGACTTGCTTGTTCAAGGCTGGTGACTGCTGACGATCGTGACGATGAATTATGCCATTGACTCGATGGTTCATGACAGGTGACTGATGATTGTGGTGATAAGCTGTGCCATTGACTCGATGACTCATAACCATTGTCTAGTGACGATTGTGGAGGTGAATCATGGCATTGACTCAATCGTTGCTGGTTGTCTACAGATGTTGATAGCTGTGATGAGCTTTGTCGTTTAATTGTGGATCGATGACTTGTGAGCAAAGATGAATGCGTTGATGGTCTGTGCCATTGAAATGATGGCTGAGGATTGGCGATTAGTGATCTAGATGAACAATTAGGCCTTTCATCTGGTAATTGGTAACTATCGACTAATGATGTTTGTGATGATGGAATGTGCCATTCATTTGATTGTTGGAGGTTGGTGTCGAACAATGTTTGTGATGATAGTGATTTAGATGAAGAACCATGCCATTCTACTGATGGTTGATGAGTACTTGCTGATGTTAGTGATGAGGCTGATTTAAATGAAGGATTATGACTTTCAATTATTGGTTGATAACTTTTGACTGATGTTGATTGAGGTGAGGGAGTTTGCCATTGATATGACTGGTGATGAGCTGACTCAGCTAGTGACTCAGGAGAAGAAATCTGCCACTGGGTTATTGGTTGAAGTTTGGTGCTTGATAATGACTGTGAATATGGCATGTCAAATTGAATTGATTGTTTATGGTCGGTGTCTGACAATCTTTGACAGTGCCATTGATTTGATGACTGGTGACTAATGTCCAATAATTGATGTGATGAACGACAACATTTACTTGTAGAAAATGCTCGCTGATAATTATCAACATCCTCCACCATATACTCGAGAGTTTGTAAAGGTGGTCTTAAGATATTTTCTATGGAATAATGAGGAGAATGCAGCTTACTGGAATAAATTTTATCATAACACAAATAAGATTCACTATTGAAGATACAATGCTTAGTGTCCGCATTCAAATCCTCATAATTATTTCTGTAAATGTTATTTATGTTTTCTTTAGAGCTTTGATCCGTAGACATTGCATTTGGGTTTGGTAACAGATGAAATGATCTATTTCGAGAGTTTTCAGACAGTGGCTCAGTACCTGGTGAAGAGGATGTTACTTGCAATTTATTACAATTTGCACAACAGGCATGGTTATTTTCTTTTGTGACTGAACAATCTATGCCGTCAGGCACTTTTCGAAAAATGTGTGAAGATTCCCAGTCATTGCACAAACCATTGTTGAAAAATGTGTTAGAAGATGAAATCATCGATGAATGTGCTACGCAAGTAGATGTCTGGCACGATGCAGCATCTCCAAAATCCTTGCTTGAGTGCACATCTTTGACACATTCTGGCATGGCACTGTTTCTGTGGTGCATAGGTTTGCGGACTGCATATGGTGGCAGATAGCGTCTTGATATCATAGCACAAGAAGAATGACAATGAGGAAATTCTGATCTTGGTGCATCAAAACAGCTTTTGCCGTAAATATGAGGGACTTGAGGAATCCATTTTGGAGATTGGCAACTGCGACATGGTGGAGAGGAGGATTTCGTCAGAAGGGATTCTGAAACTGGTGATGCTGACTTCACTGAGACTGGTTCTGCAACTGGATTTGCTTTTTTTGCTGATCTCAGTTTTCTTTCAATTTTTACGTCTTTATCATTCCTCTGTGTTTTCGTTTTTTCCCGCATTCTTCGATTCTGAAACCAGATTTTCAGTCTTCTTTCATCGACGCCCATTTTTTGGGACAACTTTTTTCTGTTAGCATTATTTAAATATGGAGATTTTGCATATTCTTTTTCTAGTTCTTCGATTTGGTCTTCATCGTAGGTCATGCGACTGATTCTACGCGAACCTGAAAGAAACAAAAAAGCATTTGTATTAAGAGTTAGATTTTAAGGAAAAGTCTTGGCACAGTTGAAGAAGATGTTCCATGAACAATATATTGATTACAGTTTGGCTTAAAGCATATTTGGCAGTGTTTCATTTACTTACGCAATATATTTAATTCAAATTAAATGGCATAAAGAATACAGACACTGGAATTTCATCAGAAAATTTATTAAACGCCTTCTTATCTTGCTGTCTCGAGTTTCAGGTTCAATTTTTTCTTAAATAATTTCATTTTGCTTAACCGCCTCCCTGATTATCCCGAGTTAACTCGGGTATGTATATACAGTGAAACCCCGCTATAGTGAACACGGCTTATAGTGAACTCCCGGATATAGTGAACAAAATGCTCGGACTTTGCTATACACGTATAATGTTATTTTTAATGGATATAGTGAACCAAAAAAGTGAGGAAGTTGGATATAATGAACTTTTTTCTGTCTTCGACTGATTCCCCCCCCCCATTTTCTTTGTAATAATTTTGAAATTTCTACTTCAAAATAAATATCTACACATACCGATTTTTAAAACCATCTATAGAAACTACTTTTATGTGCTCGAATGGCAGGTTAGACAGGTTTGAAATAGAACAGAACAGAAATTCAGGAAAAATTATCTGAGAGTCGGGAAGTGTTTCCATATCTGATGTTGAGGATTGCTCATCAGCTAAAAATTACTAATTTTTATTTGTACGCAAGACGAAGAGTGATTAAAAATAACGCATTTTTTGCTACTACATAATATTTTTCAGTCATTTATATGAATATAATGTAATAAAAGGGAAGAGTTTGGGAACCATTAGGGAAATTGCCTGCGTAATGGATATAGTGAACTCCCGGTTATAGTGAACCGAAATTTCGGTCCCATGACGGTTCACTATAGCGGGGTTTGACTATTGCTAATATTTATTTCCCCGAGTAAACTCGACCATAGCAGAATTCGTCAATAAGTTTTGTTTCATTACTTTTTTATTCGTGCGACCGGAAGCAAAGCAAAAAATGATAATAATCTGTTGTGATTCGAAGTTTGCCAATTTTTGTTCCAGAGTTTTGCTATTTGTGGAACTGCTGAAGTGTTTTGTACAATTGTATGTAGGATGGTTGCTGCAGTTAATAGAAAAAAAAGAGTAAAAAAATGGCGTTCGATAAAGAAAGTGAAAGTAATGCAGATGCCTCTTCAGATTATGAAGATGTGAACATATACAAAGACTATTATTTAACTTTTTTCATTTCTCCCGAGATAATTTGGGATAGTAAACTGATGATAAATTAAATATTTTTGACACATCAAAAAATTAAAATTTCAACTTTGAACTTATGTCTTATGCTTTGCTTTAGTTCCTTGTATTTATTTATCAAATAAAAAAAATATGTTGATTTTTTGAAAAAATTTTTTCCTAAAAAAAATCGGTGAAGGAAGTGGTTAAAAAACGATTATTGATTCCAAATTTTTGTTGAATGTAATTTTTATTTGATTTCACAATCACCTTTGAAAAAGATTGCAATATGTTGATCTTTTTACAATCTTTTAGAGCTCTTACAAGAACACGAAACAAGCAAACTATGTCATTTATAGTTTGGAACAGGTAACTCAGTATTCATAATCTTTCCTTTTATTAAGAAGAAAAGAATTTCTTTTTAAATTAACTTTTAAATTTGTCTAAATCGACTAAAACCGCTGCGGATATTTTGTAAAATACAGAGGAACATGCTTTCTATATATCCAGTAGTTCACCTCGAGTAACAGGAAACAACTAAAACTTGTTCTGCATTTAAAAAAAAAAAAAACAACAACAACAACTTATTTAAATAATTAATTTTTAATATTTCATAAACAGCTTTAAAATGCATAAACTCAGGTAACTCGGTGAAATATAAAATTTTAAAAAATGATAATTTAACGTGGCATTTCAAGAGAGAAATTTTATCGACAAACTTTTTAAACGAAAAAAACTCAATGTCTTGTCAGAGCATTGAATAAATTATGAAAATAAATAACCAATAAATAAACGAACACCGTTTTGGAAGCGAACCCTGGGAAACAGAGAATACGAACCAGAAGGAAGGATGTGTTGTCGAAAGAAAGAAAGAAGCAAAAATTCTCGTATCGGGATGAGGAAAAAAATAAATAAATAAATTTATTCTAGAATTTGGATAAGAGAAGAAGGGGACAAGACGAAGAAAAGGGGTTGAATGGGGGGTATGAGAGGGGTGCAGCCAGCTGTAGCTGACGTTCTTTCCTCATGGAATATTCATGAGAATGGACGCCCTAGCAGTGTCGCCCCGGCTTGCACTACACATTCGTCCATGCATCCCGCGCCTACTTTGTCACAGACGCCCCGGCCGGGATTCATTCTTTTAGTGGAGGTTGACGAATTTGGCATTTATCGCCCCAGCATTTTTCTCTGTGAAACAATACTGTTGACGTAGAACTTGCTCACTTACTTGCCAAGAGAAGAAAAAGAAGAAAAAAAAAATAGTGATACGAAAGAGTCGATTTATTTTTTGCGAAGAGAAATGCTCTTGTTTCAAGAAATTTCAACAGAAAAATCTTATTTTAATTCAGTCTGAAACAGCTAATGGATCAAACTAGTTGGCTAAACATTTTTAAATCGGAGTTAGAAAACAATTTTTAAGCAGGTTATTTTACATGTAATTAAATTTTACGTGCAAGCAATTTTTAATAGCACGATCTCCAGCGTTTTTAATAACTATTTTTGAACGAATTACGAATTATTCGGTAGGTTTTTCAAAACAATCTAACATAATATTTCAGAGGTTTTAAGAAACAATTTTTAAGCAGATTATTTCATAGATTTTTGAAAACAATTTTCAAACGAGTTAGTTCATAACTTTTCATCTTTAGACTATTTTACAAATTTTTTAAACAGGTTATTTGGATTACAAGTTAGGCTGGTTACAAGTTTATACCCTGTCTGAGTTGACCACTGTCTAAAGCGATACATCTCAAATTTTGTCAACTTGCGCAAGTTTCTCTGTATTTTTGTCTTTTACTCTTTTACCACTAGCACAAAGGCTGTATCTAAGTATATCTGTTGCGAAAATTAACTCATTCAAAATTATCCAGGGTTCAAAATTTGTCCTCATTTTAATTGTTTTGCTATCGAACCATCACCCTTTCACTGAATTTAAAAATCAAACTTAGAATCATCTTAAACAGATTTATAAACAAGTATATATATAATCGTGCAAACTGATGAAGAGAATATATCTTTTAATTTCATTTGTTTTCAGGCTTTTTAATACATATATTGTTTATTATTTTTCTTCTTCTCTTTTCATTAATCTTTAATATATTCCATGTTTTCTCTACAACTGTTAAATATTAATAATTAGAAAATTAATGACCATTTATTTTTTATTTACTTTTTTATTTTTAATTTATTTTCTTTTTTTCTTTAAATATTCAAGTAATTAATATCTTAGATCATTTTTGCACGTTATGATACTTTTTTTTTATTATCAAGATAAACATTTTTCAAAAACAAAATGCTTAAAAAAAAAAGTAATCGAAATAATAATAAATATCTATTTTAAGCATATATTAAATCATCATCACTGATCATATCTGAATCTTTTGATATTAAATCAAAAATTATGAGAACTTTTTAGGGTTAAATATTACACTATTTTTAAAACGCTAGGGTGGTAAAAATTCATTTATATTGTTTTATTATTATTTAAATTTAATCATATTCAGCAACGATTATAATTCTAACTGTTAAAAATTTTTATTGATATAATTAAAAAATATTAAATTGTTTTTTTAATATCTATATTACATTACTTTTTCTCTATTTTGTATCTTTTTTTAATATCAAGATGGTAAAAAAAAATTCGGAATTTTTAGTTCGAGCATGATATTAAATCTTCATCTCTGATCTTATTTGATTTTTTGATCAAAATCTGATAACTGATTTGACAATCAAAATCTGATTTAATAATAAAAAATCATGAGAAGAAACTTTTGATGATTTAATATTACTCCATAACAAAATGTCTTCGGAAGAAAATGGTTAAAATTAAGGACCCTGTNTAATATCTTAGATCATTTTTGCACGTTATGATACTTTTTTTTTATTATCAAGATAAACATTTTTCGAAAACAAAATGCTTTAGAAAAAAAATAAATAAAAAAAATAAAAAATAAAGAATAAAAAAATAATAAAAATAAATAAGAGAAATAATAATAAATATCTATTTTAAGCATATATTAAATCATCATCACTGATCATATCTGAATCTTTTGATATTGAATCGAAAATTATGAGAACTTTTTAGGGTTAAATATTACAATATTTTTAAAACGCTACGGTGGTAAAAATTCATTTGTACTGCTTTATTATTATTTAAATTTAATTATATTCAGCAACGATTATAATTCTAAATGTTAAAAATTTTTATTGATATAATTAAAAAATATTAAATTGTTTTTTTAATATCTATATTACATTACTTTTTCTCTATTTTGTATCTTTTTTTAATATCAAGATGGTAAAAAAAAATTCGGAATTTTTAGTTCGAGCATGATATTAAATCTTCATCTCTGATCTTATTTGATTTTTTGATCAAAATCTGATAACTGATTTGACAATCAAAATCTGATTTAATAATAAAAAATCATGAGAAGAAACTTTTGATGATTTAATATTACTCCATAACAAAATGTCTTCGGAAGAAAATGGTTAAAATTAAGGACCCTGTTCAAGAGTAACAGTAAACAGTGCCCATGCGTTGCTATGGGGACAGCTGCTGTTTAATAATTTTTTAAAATTATTTTTGTTTTTTTCATTTTTCATTTTACTACGTAGTTGGTAAGTTTATTTTTGAGATGTGGAACTAGAGATAGCCTTTAAAATAATTCTCGAGCTGTAAATAAAAGAGAATTTTATCATCTGAACGAATTTTTTGTTTTTCTTGTTTTAATTAAGAATCAGAAATTCTA